ATATATATATATATATATATATATATATATATATATATATATATTAAATGATTGATATTTGAATTGATATTATTCACTCTTAATTAAAGAAAGATATATGTGGGTCAAGATCGTGTATAACATGGAGGGATGTGATATGTGTTATCATGTGGGTACTAATAGGCCAAGACTCCTTAAGTAGAGTTTAACAACTAAATGTGTTTCCACATAAATAGTGTCGATAAGAAACATGGCATGTATGATGACCAAATCAGTATTAAATGTATCTGATCTCATCGAAAACGTTTATATATTATATATTTTTGCACACAATGACACAAATGGTACCAAGATGGGTGACATGGAGGGTTGAAGTGGTGGCCATGACAATGTTGGCATATTCTAAGACAACCATTTATGCATGTTGCATTAAGAAGGGGACCATGGCTAGAAGCTCTTGTAATCCTTGGCTCTATTACCCTTTCTTGAAATGTCTCAAGTCTTTGTTTTTATGGATCATTACAACACTGTTAATATATTGTTTTAAAGTCGTTTATAATTCATTTAGATTTAATAGATTATCACATCAACATCTCACTTTTCATATACAACTTTGGTCATTTAATTCCTACAATCTATTAATGAATAAACTCTGCAAATTTTAATAGAACCATTTTTTAAAATATTTCATTCTTTTGTTAATCATTTTTCCATTCAATCGGTTAAACTCCAAATCTAATGTATGCCAACTCAGCATCTAACTATGGTTGGGTTTTTGTGCTCTTTCAAAAAAAAAAAAAAAAAAAAAAAAAAAAAAAAAAAAAAAAAAAAAAAAAAAAAACTATGGTTAGGTTTTATCTATCACATATCAATTAAACATTTCATTTCATTCTAAATAGTCCTATTGAACATGGCTTTTTTTAAGGAGGGTGTTTGGCTTATCTTTTAAGAGTCCAAAAGTTATTTTTGGAAAAGATAAAATACAAAATATGTTTGGTAAAAGCATCTAAAAAAGCAACTTTTGGATTTTTGATATAAGGAAAACTGATTTTTTGGAAAAGTCAGAAACCTGACTTTTTGTAACTTTTGCAAAAGGACTTTTGCATTCAAAAAAGATAAGTCAAACACCCCTAAAAAAAATCTCATTATAAGGGGAATCTGATTTCCATATATGTTTTAGCAACAACCAAATGTAGACAAATTATTGACGAAGTTATATTTTGGTCACGACTTCAGTTGGTTTTTTTTTTTTTTGGTTTTGATCCCAATGGAATTAAGTTGAGACTTTTTTTTCCCTTAATTTGAAGTTTCCTAAGAGTTTTGGTGCTATTCCAAATAAAACGGGTATATAATGAATTTTATATTGATTTTTCATAAATATTTGTTATTTAATTAATATCAAATTTTCTAAATTATCATTAAATTACATTTGGTACTTCCTTCAAATATATATTGTCTTTCATCTAATAATAAACACTTGCAAAAACCATATAACAAAATAATAAATAATATTATTATTTTACTTGGACTATAACCAAAATCATTAATATATACATATTAATAATTCACATGGCCTTAAGAAACAATAACTTTTCTAGACTTCAGACATTTGCCACACCATTATCCATATTTTACACTTTAGTCCCTCATTATGTGTTTGGAGCTTTAAACTTATTTCAAACTAGTAAATTGCAACCCAATTCATTTAGAAACCAAAACCGAAAAAGAAATCAATTAAAAACAAAAACCAAAAATGTAATTTACTCCAAATGATTAAACCACATAAATATTATGTTCGGTTTATCATTCTATCCAACGTTCGACTAGCCAATAATATAT